TAAATTATTCTTACCTTCGCCTCCCATTCCATACCAACGACAACAATAACAAGTAGTATGGTTATGGTTATACAACCGATAATGCGCACATCTTGAATACCGCCATCAACAATAGTGAGATCGAAACTGCGCAACAGATCTAACATAGATTCACAGAAACCCACCACGTACATGGCACAGGCTACGGCATTCGCCAGTGAAAATATAAGACCAATGGAACCGCCAAATTCCGGACCCAGTGAGCGTGATATCATATAATATGTCCCACCTGAGAAGAGTTTGGAGAATTAGACTCATACATATTCGACTCATATGTCTTAGTACTTATTTTTTTTTTGTTTGCAACAGTAAACTTTATTACATCTCTATGATACCCATTTTGTGGCGTTTCATTATATTGTATTTTTGTTTACTCATTTTTTTAACATGTGGCAACTCTTATAAAAATATTTTTTTAGAGAAATCTTTCTTAAGCCTGTTTAGTTTGATGCCCATATTTTGGTTTTTCAAATAATACAATATAAAATTGCAAACAGGTGGCTACCCCAAAATATTTGTCGTTTAAAATTCGTTACTTTTATACTCATTGAATAACTCGTTTATCTTTTTAATTTCGGTGAAAAACTTTTTTGAACAGGTGGCAACCTTCCCTGTTTTTAATTGCTAGCCATCTCAATATCTTTAATTTGTAGTATTTTTTGCATATACATTATTTCATTTTAAAATCTTCAACATGTGGCAACCTTGTAAATTTTTGTTAAAATCATATTATTATACGTACGAAAATATTCAAATTGGGCCAACATTTTAAAATTCAGACAACCAATACCTAGCTCAAGTATCTCCATAATCTTTTACTTACCCCCTTTGATAACACCATTTGTACTAATCGCCGACATTGACAACGACGTTACAACAGTAACCACTGTGGTCGTTAAAATCAAAATGAATCCCTCTATAACACCAGCTTGTCCTACGACCCAGCTGAGACGCAGAAATAGCATAACGCCCCAAATGTTGAGTAGACAACGGACTAAAACGCCCTTAATCCAACCGAATTTAAGCACACCATTCATATTGCCTGCTTCCGGATCCTGATTGCGACTTAAGCTGGCACTCTGTGGAATGCAAATATTATTTATTTAATTAAATATTATGTATAATTTAATTTATTAATAATAATAAGTATACTTAAAATGTTTTATCATTCATTATACAGTGGTAAATAAATATATAGGGTGTCTTTCATAGAGAAACACATAGCTGTCAAAAGGGCTGACAAGGTAATTCAACAGCGATGTAAGGTCTATAAATCATGAAAAATAAATTCCAAAACTCCCGTTCTTTCCTGCTTAAGGCTTTCGGAAACAAGAAAAATATTGTTTTGGATTGCAGAAAATCTTGAAAAGGCTTTTCAGGCTCGCTAGCATTCCAAAAAATATCTAAAAATGTGGTTGGTGTTCCTAAGCAATCATTAATGGATTTAGGTTCAATGGTACCGTTTATGGTGATCCCGACAGGCAGTATCTCGCTACATTTGTGAACCACACGAGTCAGTCATCTAAGTGATAAAAGATCCGAAAAGGACGGTGGAACAGGTCATGGAGCTTGCGGAATTAGCCATTTATTGAAGCTTATGGTAAGCGATTTATATAAATGAACAGGCACATAATCATACAAATCTACAGGTGCTATAATTGGTTCAGTTAGACTAGTTGTGGTTGGGGTTTAAGTCGATTCTATTTTCTATACAGATAAACCAGCTAAAAATGATTAGTTCGAATTCAACATAAAACAAGTTCTTGCTCAAATACAGTCGGTTCTTCTGGAAAAAGTCATGCAAAATTGCAGACGTTAAAGTTGAGCTCTTTAGTCGAAGGGATCGAAACCCATATTGTGGGCTTTTTCGACGTCGATGTCTTAATAGCTTCTTCGTTAACTTTGGCAAATGCGCCAACACTATCAGCTTGTCAGAACTAGCGACAAACTTGCAGAGGTTTAACGAACCTAGTAGTCCGTTATCGGCGCTTCAGACAAATGAGCAGGTTCTTGAGGAGAATAGGCTGTATGTAAAATTTCAAATCGATATCTGGAATACTTAGGGACTAGTTCACGTATATATAGACAGACAGATGGACATAGGCGTCCACTTACTCATATCGTCACGCTGAACATTTATATATAATTTATAGACCCACCAAGGTTTCCTTCTGCGAAACTTCGTTACAAACTTCGTGGCACAATAATATGGGTCTAAAAAAAGACACCCTTTACATATGCAAACAGATACTGAGCACATCAGAGCTTTTGATTTGTCTTAGCGTTTTAAAAGCATTCGCCCAAAGGCCAAAATGGCGCATTGAAATTCACTAAATGACGCATCAATTAAAAATTGGTCTTAATTAAATTATGAGTGGCTTTTGTGCTGGGAGTAATTGCCCCAGTTTATATTCAATCGCACATCATCGGAATGTAAATGCACATAGTATATCTCTATACATATGTATAACTGTCTGTATGTAGGCCTTCATATTTCCAGGGAATCTTATTCGCCATGCAATTGAATTACAGGGGTTACAGTGAGAAATGCAGCAATTTTGAACCCACTAAACCAATTAGAAATAGTAAAAGAACAGCAACAATAAATAATAAGAATATACGAAGACAATCGAGCTTTTGAAGATGCACACAATTATAGATGAATTCAATTAGGTGCTTATGTAAGTTAGTATGCTAGAGAATCATAACACTGTGACTATTTTAGTTAAAATTATTTCGAAATCGAAATTTTACCTTTCCGGTGAGCGTTGCGTTGTGCAACTCATCAAGTGTGGGCCGATAGGCGGCTTGTATGGACATGATGTTTCGATAATTATCCAAACGTGGCAAAGCTTCACGCGTAAAGTGTCTGCAAGCAAATGTAATTATTAAATAGGAATTCAAATTTATGCATACCATATATTTCAACGTACCGAAAACTTTTGCCATATTTCGTATCATATTCATTGTCCAATAACTCACGATCCTCCTTGGTGCCACTAGAGTCGTCAGAGTCTTCTTCATTTTGTGGCGCAACTTGAAATCGCGTTGTTTGCGATTGTGAATCCTTGAACCTCGAGGGTTTGTCTTTATCACGAAAACTGCTTTTGATGGATTGTCTATTTTAGAAGAACATAATT